GTATATATATATATATATATATATATATACGCACACTACTAAGTTAACTACCATGAATTAAATTCACTACTCTTAAAAATACATTCATAGCCGTGTTAAGAGTAACTGGTAGAAATGTGTGTCTGAACTGTTCTATTGTGCAGTCTCTGTCTTTATTTGAATATCACATATGCAAGACTTAAATGTAAGAAATAGTTTTTGAAAAAATAAAATAAAACACCTCCTTTGTTATTTTTTAAAGTTTCATTAAGTTTGAGGAGATAAAGTTTCTTCGTAATATCTATTAATGGCTCTTCTAGTAATTAATTTAACTACACATTAAAATGGTATGCTTGTAACAATTTCTTTAATGGTTTCAGTTACTGATAGTTATGGCAAATATTCTTCTCACCATATTTAATCTTCAAAACCTGTAAATCTTGTGCAATATCTAGGATGTTTTGAAATATATTTTATCAATGAACTTTCTTTTTCCACTTTAAAAAAAATGTTCCTTTAAATAACAAATTTTCACATATTACTTAGCTCTATCCTGAGCGTTTCTACTGATTTGAGAGCAGCACGAGTATGTAGGCCTAAGAAAACACGTCTTATTTGAAAGTTATTTGAAACAGCTTGGACAGCTATTTAATCAAAAACTACCTCTACCATGTATCATGAATGTTCACTGTTTGCAAGGTTGCCACAGTTACGTATATGACAACGGAAACACTAACTTTTAATACCCGCCAATCATCTTGATCATTGATGTACGAGTTGAAGTTTTTAAATCGTTAAGATTTACGGATGTGAGCTTATAGCACTAGGGGAAATACTTAGTAAAGAAATAATTCAAGTTTTTTAAGCTAGTTTATAATACTCAAGCGAAAGGATATATACTAGTTCTTAAGGCCAGCTTTCTGAGGTGTCTTATTGCTTATGTAGCTGAACTTTGTTCGAAAACACAGAAGTTCAGAATGTTTAGTTGAATTCAGGGGCCTTATATAGAAAAAAGTACGAAATTCAAAATTGCCAAATTAAGCCTAGCTTATGGAAAATTAAAAAAAATCGTGATTTATTAAATGATAAAGAAAGTCTTAATATATAACTGTTTAGAATGGCTTTAGAAACGCTGCTATATCCCATCTAAGAGTGCGAGAGTTTGTTTTATTCCTATAGAAATACGAGAAAACCAATCGCTTATTGGTGGATCTAGACTAGCCCCCCCCCCCCAGTAGCACAGCGGTATGTCTGCGGACTTACAACGCTAGAAACCGGTTTTCGATACCCGTGGTGGGCAGAGCACAGACAGCCCATTGTGTAGCTTTGTGCATAATTTCAAACAAACAAACTAGACTAGGGTATCTTTCAGTCAGAAAAACAAAAACTTCTTTAGAAGGCAGTTTTCTTTTTATTTCTTATTTTGTGATCAAGATGTGTTTGATGAAATAATGTCCGAGGACCACAGTTGTGTAGAAGCACCATTCAACAAAGGGTTGATTTATGTCTACGTATATGTCAGTCATAAGCCAGACTAGTCCCGTTTAGGTTGTTTTTTTCAAATAATTATTCTAATGTTATTACACACTACAGGCTAACATCGAACACTGCTTTTATACATAAATGTTTTCAAGTAATTAAAAGATCAAAGATCAGAAGTTTTGATTTAGTCCATGTATATACATATATATATAGGTATTGTAAGATTTCAAGTGGTCTTTCTTTGATGAGTGTCCTATAAACTAAGTATAACATAATAAATAAGATCTGGAAGTTGAATGTAGTTGGTATTAGCTAAGCATTCGATATTAGGTAACTAATATCTCATTTTATGTTTTTCTTTGAGAGGTGTGTTCAGTATTAACTTTCTGCTCGTTGCCCTGATAAGACACGAAGCTGCTTTTTCTTCCCTATGTCTACTGTAATTTCGTCTTTGTGTACACTGAAGTGTGATGTATTATGTAAAGTTTGTCTGCTTTTTTTTTAATAATAGAAGTCATTAAACCAGCATACGTATGTATGTGTGTTTCTTGTTTTATAACACTGAAATTCCATGTAAACATGCCGAAATGGATCTAGGAATTATAAGTATTGATTTTCAAAACGATCTCAAATCGTATACAGAAAATATAGTTATAGAATCTCCACATAAAGAATACAAGTTGAAAAAATCAAACTGAAATTCAATAAATAAGATTTAACCGCTAATGCAGGCTATTCTTTAGTTCGCAGGAAAATGTAAGCAATTTGAAATTAATGCAAGACTGCTCCAAAATTTTACATGTAAAAAAAAATACACGTGACACTAACAAAGTGTAAAATGCCCTTGCAACAGAATTTACACATTAATTTGCTTTTTTCTTCGTTTTTTTAAATTAATGCTGTTCCTGAACTAACCAAACAAGATGACGAATGTTTGTACTTTTATATAAATAGAAAGAGATATAATTAAATATTTATGAATCAGAGACGTAGCAGTTACGAGAATGCACTGAAGGATTTGGAGATTAACGTGCAGGTTCTTTATATTTTTTGTAGTCAGTATGTCTGTTGCTCCTCGTACGGGAATACTTAAATATACATAAATTGATAGGAAGAATAATAACCATAGAAAATGGCATTATATATTTGAACATTTAAATAAAATCAATACACGAAGAAAGCCTATTAAACAGTTTCATTAATGTGTTATTTTTTTCTATTCTGCTTAGAAAATGTTACAAAGAATCAAGGTAAAATTTCGTAGATAAATTTTATAGATAATAGCTATTAAACAGGTGTAGATATTAGCACATATTACGCTAATAACAAAGCTACATCACAAAAGGGGCTGTAGTTAGCCGGATTGTGGAGCTGCCGGTGCATTATAAGTGTGACTGTCCTGTTTCACTATTCGGTGAGACAAAAGTCGGATGCGGGTGCTGTTGACTGGCTGCCTTTGCTCTAGTCTATCAATTCAAAATTAGCGACGGCTAGCTCGCTTTCAAAAGAACGACTTTCCTTTCGAAAAGGCATGGCCAGGTGGATAAGGTGCTCGACTCACAATCTGAGGGTCGCGGGTTCGAATCCGCATACCACCAAACATGCTCGCCCTTTCAGCCGTGGGGGCGTTATAATGTGACGGTCAATCCCACTATTCGTTGGTAAAAGAGTAGCCCAAGAGTTGGCGGTGGGTGGTGATGACTAGCTGCCTTCCCTCTAGTCTTACACTGCTAAATTAGGGACGGCTAGCGCAGATAGCCCTCGTGTAGCTTTGCGCGAAATTCCAAAAAAACAAACAAACAAACGGACAAAGCGTGTGATCGAGAAATTTGCGAGAAATGTTCCGGACAGACAAAAGCAAGCGTATTATTTATATAGATGTTTAGAAAAATGTTCCATTATATAGTGGTTACTCTAAAGTAAACGAGTTTCAAAATTATTTTCGTAAACAAATTTAAATCAGTTCTCGAAATATTTGCAACATTCTCAAAATTCTAATTCTATTTCAGTAAACTTGTAACAAACGGCCAAAGATTAGACGTGAGATGTAACAATAACGTGAAAGTGGTTATATTTAAATTTACCTTTCGGATAGTATCAGTGTTTACATAAACTTACCTTTCCATCAGTATCTGTGCCTCTTCTTATATTTTGACCAGTAATAGTGTTTACTTATACTTATATTTCGACTAATAGTGATGTCTGATTAAGTGTCTGTGTATACTGATATTATTTTGATTAATATCAGCCTATTTTATTCACTTAGCTCTCGACAGAACTGGTGTTTACTGATACATATATTTTGACCAGCGTCATTATTTGCCTAGACTTACCTTTAGGGTCACTTTTTTTACTGATATCGGCATCTAATTTACATTGTGAACAGTATCAGTGTTAACCTCTACTTTTACTAACGGTATCTGTGTTTACTTATTCGAAAATTTTGACCAGTATCGGTATCTATTTAGACTTATACCTTTCGACCAGCCCTGTTGTTATGCAGATTCATCAACGAACGACCATCTTCTTCAACTTCGCGAGATTTCAGAAACTTCTGGGCGACTTTCATGCCATATTTGATGTTAACAGAACATCCACCCCACTTCCAATTTGCTCTGTGCCTGAGACTCTCGCTGCTAACGCCACACCCACAACCGCCAATTGTACCTTGGCTGCACGCATTCGTTACTGTATATGTCACACCAGCTGAACTGATGGCGTACATATAGGCTGCTTCTCGACTGCCTACCAAAAATAAGTAAAAAAGGTAAAAAAAAACATTTTATATGGATGGCTACCAAAAAATGACATTATATAAACAACATAAAGTGGTGAAATGCGTGACAATGATTTACAAGTACTTGTTATTTTTATGTAACTAACATACTACATATTTCAACAGAACATTGGTCTGTCTTTTTCAGATATTATATTGTTACGACAGCGGAAGTCACGTAATGCTGGGAGAATGCGTGGTGAATTTCTCGAATAATCAGGGAACTCCGCGAATGTTGGAGATGCCTCTTTGTTAGTATATAAGCCTGGCAGAGAAAAGCCAGAGGGTTAAGCGAACAGTAGTTACGGTGAGTTCTGTGTAATTTATGATTCTGTTAGTTTCGAGCTAGTGTGCCGTAAAGTGTGTGTTTTGCACTCGTAGAAAGCGAAGTTATCGAGGTTGTGAATCGCTGTGATTTATAGCGTGTATTATAAAAGTTGTTAAGTTTAAAGTAGACGGAATTGAGGACTTGAAAACCGAGATTGAAAGATGGGATAAATTAAGATATGGTAGACCAAAGGATCTGGAGAATAGAAGTTATCGGCCGACCCCAAAACTATATGGAATTAAGGTTAAATGAAGAAGAAGATGAAGATGGTGGTCCAACCACAGATGTGTAACTCACCTTTTTCATAGGCCACGTTTGGATAGAACTTATACAGTAAATTCAATCCCAAGTCATAGTAGTGAAGTATAAGTCTATTACGACAACCTTCGTAGATTGTGATCAAAGAGAAAACTCTGAACCCAAACACTTTTGAAAGGTGGACCTTCTTTCTCCTGTAGTAAATAGTGAATGTATTATGTCCAAATACAATTTATTACAGGTATATGATGTAAACACAAATGGCCTTGAAAATAAGCCAAATGGAAAGGACAAAAGAATGTATGCACGTGTTACATCATTCCATCATGAGAAAAACATATTTTATTAAAGTGATAGGTTTCAGAAGGAAGAAAAATTATAACATTTTTAATATATAAGAAATAACCTGTTAAACATTGTGAAATGATTAAAATTATCAGTATAAACTACACATGTAAAATAGGTACATATATTATGGTGGCTAAAATCTCGGACAAAAATTGTAAACATATCTAAATGTAAGTGAATTCGTTCACCAATAATTAAAATAATAACACTGGGATAAAGAAAAAAGATATACTGACAGATAAAATAAAGAAAACTGCATTAAAGGAATAAAGAAAAACCTACTATCCAAAAACTGGAACTAAAAACTACAAGCCATTCATGGCTACACACATAAATCTGAAGTACATGTCGAACTATAACCTATAAAAGTAAAAATTATACAATTATTTAAAATGAACTAGCAAGAAAAGTATAGAAAGATGAAAAGAAGGTAAATTTCTAGAACTGTTAAGCATGAAAAAAAACAATAGTTTGTTTGTCTGTTTTGGATATTCATAAAAGCTGTACTCGTTAACAACATTTACTGCCAATGTTTGGGCTACTCTAATTGAAAAGTGGGATATTACCATTACTCTTTTGATGCACCACAGCCCAAAATGTAGAGCACAATTTTGAGGCAATGGGACATGAACCATAAACCTTCTGGTTTACAGTCTTTCATGCTAATAAACAGTCACTTCTAACCCAAGGATGTGAGTAAAAGTAAAGTAGGTAGTAGAAAAGATCGAGCGGATTTAGTATCAGAAGTGGGAGTAAACATAACTTAGAGTTCTGTGATGCCAGGGTCAGTATTTATGTTTTTAGTAGTAACAGCATTCAAAGTGGATATTTAGTAAGCTTCTTTTAATTATCTTTGAAATTTAGATTCGAAACAAGTGTCAAGACCTATCAGGGATACATCATTGAAACAAGTGTTTAGATCTATCAGGAATAAATTATTGAAACAAGTGTTTGGATCTATCAGGGATAAATCATTGAAACAAGTGTTTAGATCTATCAGGGATAAATCATTAATAAGATGATAACAGGAAGGTGGTTCCAATGGTAAGATGGAGTCAAAATTCTTTGCTCATCATTTATAGTTAAAGTTCACCAGTAAGAATAAATCTGGTGGTTATTGGCCAGTGTGGTGTTTTGACTGACAACACTTGGTAGAAGGCGAAGTCGTGTAAGAACCTGGCTGCTCCTGTGTTTACTAGAAATTCCATCTTACATCCATAACACTATAGAAGTATGTACTAAGCCAGACTCAGTGATGTCATTGCTGAGCTGGCCAATATACCTGTTGAAACAAACAGACTACTGCACTCTTCCAGATTAGTAGCCAGATCCAACCAAAGTTATTGTGGTTTAAAGAAAAGCTAACAATATTTGTTGTTTGGCTCTCCTGCTTCTTCAGTAACAGTCCTACAACATTTCATTTTGAAGCTAAATGAGCTTTAAGTAGTTTCATTGTCTACTGCAGAAACAGGCACTCTGGTACTCTCACCTGAGTGATCTCAGTCTAGCCAAAATGGTAGGCTCTGTATATTTTATCTGCTGAATTCTACCTGTTGAGTATGTCCCAGAGGTTTTCGATGGGGTTCAAGTCAGGAGATTGGCTCGGCCAGGGCAACTTCTGGATACCATTTTCTTCCTGCCACTTTTGGGTGTTTTCTAGTAGTGTGACACAG